TTGCTGCTGTCATTCACCTTTCACAATCGGCATTGTTGCAGGTGAGATCAAGAGGGCTTCTGGGCGCAGCTCGGCTTGGGAGGGCCATTCTTTTGTGCTTTCGATAGTTCCCATCGTCATTTTCTCTGCTTTACAATGGTTGACAAGTACTCTTCACAAGGGTTTATGAGTTTCAAAGATTTGTATGTTATGGCTCGACACGACTTTGGAACGTAGCAAAGGTGCGAAATATTCCTCCTCTTCCCACTTCGAATTGCGTCGTCATTCGTTCGAAGCTTTGGGCTCAAATATAATTCGGCGACGCAGGGCGGTGGCATTTTGCACTTTAATTGCTTCATTAAACCCGGACTACAAGTCTCACTTTGGTGACATCTGTAAACACTTGTGAAACTCGAGCAAGCTCATTGAGCCATCATGGTGAAACTCTTGCAAACTCATGGAATAGCTGCATAAATCGCTCACGTCGATGGGAAGCGGCAAAAGTGCGAACGTCCGCTTCCGTCGCCGAACTTCCCCCCGTGTAATATACGGGCTTAAAGTCTTTTGAAAGATAAGTTTTTTTACCATGGGAAGTTTTCAGGGTGCCACTTTGCAAGCATCTCTTGATATGATTCAAGTATTAGTTTCGAATCCTGTGCCAGGAAAACCAGAGTTCGAGGTAAGGATACATAGTTACCCGAGTAGTCATGCAGCGGTGTATACAAGATTCATTATAGGAGTTACTTGACCAGCTCACGGCACCTGTTTATGATGTTCCAAATTTATCCAGACAAGGCCTTCCAAGTCGATCTCTGCTGCCACCGGTGTCGTTGCAGCAGCTAGTGGAGACATGGAAAAGGTTCAGTTTTGTGCTTTATTAAAAGTGATAGCATGGTATGGTAATCGGTGATGGTGACTGAAATTAATTATCAGTACTTGGTTCTTCGTTGGTCAGGGGGGAGGTGCTCTTCGTAACCGCGCCATGAAACCAAAAACAGTGACTGGGTGAATAAACGGTCCAAATTTCGGACTTTGAGCACTCTTCTCAATTCTGTCACCTCCAGAAAACGTCGAGTGGGTGGGATCCCAGAACCGGGTCTGGTCGAGACCAATAAATTATGAACCTAAGTTGTCCAAACAGCTGGAGCGTAACCTTGGTCCCTTGTTCTAATGCTATAATTAGGTTGGATACTTTTTATCTGTTCAGGCGCGATCCCTGGCGGAGAAATTGGCGGATCAACTGCAGAATGAAACGTCAACCGATGCAATCCGTTTGTTCAGTGTTCATGCGCTGGGTGAACTTGGGCGCCGTTGTCCCAAAGTCTACGAAAATAGCAGTCTTGAGTTAGTTACCCACTCGCCTCACACAATGCAAGATTTGGTTGTTGTTCCTTCTTTCTGTTGCAAGGCCTGAAAAAGCTCGATAATCCCTGCCTTTCAACTCGTGACCTCAGAAGAGACCTAAAAGCAGAGCCTGTCAGGCACTAGGAGACTTGCAAGTTGGCAATCATGCACGCTTCTTGCCATTCATTATTGAATGAAAATCCACAGACCTCAACCAAAAGGCGATACCTGCTTCTACACGCGCTCAAAGTTCTCGTATCAGTGAAATTTGGCCAGTCCTTGTTGACCATGCAGATGGAAATGAAGAAGGGACTAGGTAAGTTCGCTCACATAAATATTTGAAATCTTAGCTTTCTGGATGGGAATGGGGTAGAGCAGACCCATGGCGAGGTCGGACTTTTCTCTGGGTGACCCTCCTCCCTCTCCCTGCAGCTACAGTCCTTGTCAGCGGAGTCAGTAAGGGCCTATCAGCGGGCATGGGTTTGACGCGAATCGTTGCGGCTTCGGTTGCCAAGTGAATGATGGGAAAGGAGCCGGCCACGCGCAACACATGAGCCGTTGCCACGCCCCGCCTGACTTCAGTGATAACAGCTGTGAATACGACGGCCCTCCTCTCAACAAAGAATCATCAGCGTACGGCAGGCCCCGACTAGGAATCGTGCAGAGACTCGCGCAATTTTTTGCTCACAATGGGTTGATCGTTTGTTTGCCTCTACGGGTTGCTCGCATGATCCGTAGTATAACTAGCGCAGGACAAGAGACGTTCCTGACTAGGACGTGTTGTGATGAATTTCAGAAATTACAGGAGAAAAGACTACTATTTACAGAAATGTTGTTGCTGAATGTCTTGGCAAGCTAAGCGTGATCGATCCTCATGGTCTTCTGCCGGAATTGAAGGTGACTGATCAGTTCTGTGACTTAAAAGCCGTGCGCGCGATGGCTGGGGGAGGTCAGTTGCTGTCAACGTCATCGGTGGAAGGGCTGTGTGGGGTATGGCCGAACGCCCTGTCGCAGTCCTCCCTCCAATGACGCTGGCAATGACCGCCCGCTTCGAGCAATTGTGCCCACTGTCATAAATATGTTTAGAAGCAAATGGAAATTCCATGTTTATAGCTGTATGGTTTTCTACTTTATAACTTGGTTTTGTGTTCATAAATTTTTTTTGTAACCTAGTTTTGGTTCATGATTTTTTTATTTCCTAATTTTTTCCTTTACTTTCTTTGTAAAGCCGAGCACGGTTAGCGTGGTAGTCGTTTGCTGATACGACCATATTTGAGAACTGCTTAAAGAGCTTGGTGACTTCGCCTTCTGCCCGAGTGCGTTCTGCCGCCGTGACAGCGGTGAAGTTCATGATATCGGACGAGAAACGACCCGTTGATGCTGTTCTCCAACAGTGCATAGGTAAGTCTTCGACGCTTGATTTCTTTAGGGCCACAAAAAGGGCAGTAGTGCAAGTTTCGGTGAATAGCTTGCTTTTCGTCCCAATTTGGTTAATTTTTTGAAATTTTCAGGCGAATTCCTGCAAACTATGACGGATTCCGATCTCAATGTTCGCCGCGTTGCTCTCGTAGTTTTGAACTCGGCTGCACATAATAAACCATCATTGTAGTGTTCTTTCCTATATTCAGCGCGTTCTAACTTTTTCGCTCTGAGGAGATTTGAGCAGTTTGGGAGATGACAATGCGGCGATTTGAGATATCTTGGCGATATGGATTGAGGGACTTCGCGATGGTGGCGTCTCGGAAGAATCGGCCTGATCACGATCATACTTTTCGACTGAGGAGACTTGGGGGATTGGAAAAATGAACGATGTGGCGATTTGAGAAACCTGGCGATCTGAGGGACTCGTCGGTCTGACGTCTCGAGAGATTGCCGGATCGCTAGCGCCCAGCGCCGACCAGTACCCATCCAGTCCTTTAGCGCGCAATCGCCGAAACGCCGAATTTGGAATCGCTACGCTCAGTCTCCGCTATCGCCAGATGATATTTTTTACCTTCCCTGCCGTACAATTTCTTGAAAAGCAGTATTTCCCAATCCACCAAATCTCCTCAGTCGCAAAGTATGAACGCAGTTTAATTTGGCAGAACCGGCTGTGCTGAGGTAACCAACAATTCAGATTCGCAACCTGCTGGATGTACTGTTGCCATCCGTTTACTCGGAAACACAAGTGCGAAAGGAATTAATCCGAGAAGTTGAAATGGGGCCGTTTAAACACCAGGTCGATGACGGTCTGGATCTTCGCAAATCTGCCTTCGAGTGGTATGTTTTCATAGTTTTGCAGTATCTGGAAAATAACTCAATCAGTAATATTTTGCAGTATGTACACGTTACTGGAAAGTTGTCTGGAAAAGTTGGAGATATTCGAGTTTATCAATTATGTTGAAAACGGACTAAGGGTGAGCCGCCGGCATAATTGAGACAGTCTCTGGACATAATCTTACCCATCACTTTCCTAATAGCGCTAACCCTTTAGGATATGCATCATGACATCCGTCTGTTGAGTTACCTTATGCTAATGAAGTTGGCAATACTTTGTCCTAACCAGCTGGTACAACGCTTGGATAAGATATGCGAGTCCTTGAAGGTACGCTGTCTCTTCGTGCTATCTTTTTTGATTGTCGCAGCCAATCGCTACCTTTAAGACTCAACTCCAAACAAAACCAAAGTCCAATGCTGTCAAACAGGAAATCGATAAGCAAGACGAACTCAAGCGAGCCGTCATCCGAGTTGTTCTGGCTCTTCAGGTATTGTTTGATCCTATTTTGCTGTGGAATGAGATGATTCACATAGAAAACGGCACAGGGAATAGGCTTATCCGCTTATCCATGAGAGTTTGAGGTAAAGAAAGAGAAGGGATTCTGCGGCAGTCGACTCTTACCAATTCAATAGCCATGACATTAGTTTTCTTCAGAACTTGTTGTTGGTTGTGGTACAAGGTGGGTCAGTCGAAAATCAAACCAACTGGGGGTGGGAGCGACTTTCACGAGCACTCCATGGATACTGAACCTCTCTTCATTTCTAAAGATCTGTAAGATAGCTGGCACGAAGATGGTGTAGCGGCAGGTGACGCCGTTCGTGACGGGCAGGGCCCGAGATGTCAGACGTTTCTGGGTAAATCAAGTCATCCACTCATAGATGAGCTAGGGTGCCATACTCTGTACCAGACTTGGGATGACAAAAGCACCCGGTTTTACATCAGCTAACCCCAGTAGTTATTGTGTAGGCCTAAATATATTTAAAAGCCAGTACTGTTCTCACGGCACGGCCTTCAGGGAAATTGCAGACAGAGGGGAATGACCAGGACCCTCTTCTCTGGTACGACCCCCCCCCCTCAAATCTTCCAAAGAGTTCCAACTTCCATACCACTTTTCCATAGCTTTCTGAGAATTGTCCTGATTTTCCTTCTTTCCCGGAAAACTCTTGTTGAGCGAGAAAAAGAGGAGGGCATGTCTAACATGTGTCTTTACATTTGGCCGTGCGTTGGACTGCGCAGACCTCGTTGGACTATTGAGCGTAGTTCCTGAATGTAACAAAACGCAGTGGTGAAAGGAACTGATAGCGTCGAATGTGGAAGTTCTGTATGGTGGATTGGCATGGTTTGCTTGTTTTAGGGCCTCGTTGAATGCACGCGTTTCAGTAAGGCAACGTTCAGACTTCGACGACGCGCTACGACGAGCTGTCATGGCAGTTGTGCTCCAGAGCTGTAGTACGGCAAGCGCAGCCGTAAGACTAGTATCGGTGTACGCCGGGCCGCTCAGTGTTCTGAGAGAGTAGCAGGACTAATAGCGAGGAGGCGCTGTAACCACACAGGTCTCGGTACCCTCTCTGATCTTCTATACTATCCCCCCCCCCCCTGAAGCACTAGGGTCGGACGCCTAATCATACTCGCCTTCGGCTGTCTCTCTTTCTGTAGGCATTTGGAGTGCAATTGCAATGGCAGCGCGTTGTACCCGTCGACGCCAATAGTCTGAACGCCTTCTGTGTTCTATCCTTCTTCAGCCACCCTTTTGCTAATCAGGCATCGCTTGGATGTGAAAAGATCTTTTTTCCAGAAAATACCCGATGCGGAACGCCATCAGCAGCTGGTTGATGTGGCGGCCATGATGCGAGCGTCTCCAGAACTTCGTGCCCTCACCGAAGTCGTTCAACGAGACGCTTTGAGAACGTTTGCAGTTGGAGATGTTCCTATGGATACCATCTAGTCAACTGTTTTCCTTTGCTTTCCCACGGTCTTTATTGCTTAATTCCTGCACTTCTAGAAAGCGTTATCTATCATCCCGAGTTTCTGATATCGAAATAGTCTATGCAAGAGCGCTGCAGCAGTAGTATACAAGGCGCTCAAGCTGCTTATAGCGTTCTTCCTTAACTCTCGCGCAATTTCTATGTGCTGAAGAGGATTTGGACAAGATTTCATGGCTTTTTATTAGAGTGAAGATCCATGCTCAGCGCACTTCCCCTTGGTTTCGAGAAATTCTTCAATTCAGCTTCATCTGCCTTTGATTCTCCAAAGTTTGTTGGGATTTTATCCGTCTCAACTGTTTCGTCAGTAGTGTTTTGAGTATTTAAATGTTATTTGAAGAGGGCCCGGTGCACTTCTACGTGCTACTGTATTTAATTGAACCCGTTTAATTTGTACAAGCCGGTAAAGATTGTTTTGTGTGAGCTTTTTTCTTTTTAATCGAGAAGTTATTGTTATTCGAATACATTTTACTTACAGATTTGTGTACAGAACATGGTATGATGTGGGACAAACAGGGGGAGACGGGCGATTCTATAATGAGTAGGCGATGTCGCACGCTCATGTCGCGCGCGGCGAATCGCGCGGTAATGTTTAGAGTACCGTATCCACGCAAGTTGTTGGAGTGAGGGGTTTGCTCTTGTTCACGGCGTGTACTCCAGAGTGGCAACGAGATGGGTCCCTTTAGTAATATGGACGAACCATAATACAGGAAATCACGTACGCAAAGGCTGCGATATCGCGGGCCACGCCCATTACTGGCAGTCCTCGATTGACCACATATCCCAGACAGGATCATCATAGAGACCGGTGAAACAT